AAACTGCTTCTCAAACAAGAACAAATGTGGGCGGGGCTTGATTTAGTCTGTGGGGAATTGATTGGCCGGTTGTGGTTTGCTATTGGCTGATCTCATGTGAGTGACAGGTTTAGCCCCGCCCCTCGTCATCAGAGAAGAGATGATGTCACTGCAAGAGGAGGGGAAGTTAACCGGAAGACAATACAATGCTGAATAAAGTCGTAGTTTTTGTTATTTTTTGAACAAAATGTATTTTCGATGCTTCAACACACTCTAACTAACCCACTGATGTCACATGGACTACTTTGATGATGTCTTTATTTCCTTTCTGGACAAGGACAGTATACCGTACATACATTTACAATGGAGGGACAGAAAGCTCTCGGACTAAATCTAAAATATCTTAAACTGTGTTCTGAAGATGAACGGAGGTCTTACGGGCTTGGGACGACATGAGGGCGAGTCATTAATGACATCATTTTCATTTTTGGGTGAACTAACCCTTTAAGTGGATCTGTTTCCCAGGCGGCGGAGCCCGTTGACGGACACTCGGATTCTGTGCTGGATCTGTCCTGGAACCGGCTGGTCAGGTGACGTGTCTCAAACTTTCCTGAACCTTCTGCTGAAGTGCTTGTCTTCATGTGGCTGATGGAGTGTGTGTGTGTGTGTGTGTGTGTTGCAGGAATGTTCTAGCGAGCGCGTCTGCGGATGAGACTGTGATCCTGTGGGATCTGGAGAAGGGAAAACCAGCGGCGACCCTCACCAAACACACGGATAAGGTACAAACACACACGCCAGGGTCTCTTCTGCGCATTTATTTGATCAAAAATACAGTAAAAATTGTGAAATATTATTACAATGTAAAATTGCTGTTTTCTGTGTGACTATACGTTCAAATATAATTTATTCCTGTGATTAAAGATGAATTTTCAGCATCATTACTCCAGTCTTCAGTGTCACATGATCCGTCAGAAATTATTTGAATATGATGATTTGATGCTCAAGATTCATTTATGAGTATTATCAGTGTTGAAAACGGTCGTTTGCTTCATATTTTTGTGTAAATATTGGTTTTCATGATTCTTTGATGAAGAGAGAGCTCAAATGAACAGCATTTATTTGAAATAGACTTGTAACATTATAAATGTCGCTTTTAATGCATCCTTTATGAATAAAAGTATTAATTTCTTATAGTTTAGAATCTATCACTCACTCAATCTATACTATCAATCTAGTTAATTTATCAGAATCAAGTATTTCAGGAAAGCCTACACCATTGACCAATCAGAATCGAGTATTTCAGGAAAACCAGCACCATTGACCAATCAGAATCGAGTATTTCAGGAAAACCAACACCATTGACCAATCAGAATCGAGTATTTCAGGAAAACCAACACCATTGACCAATCAGAATCGAGTATTTCAGGAGAGTCGTTTATTCTGATCATATTCTCTTATCATCCATCGCAGGTTCAGACGCTGAAGTTTCACCCGTTTGAGGCTCAAACTCTCGTCAGTGGATCATATGACAAGTAGGTCATGATGTCACTGGTGTATGACTTGACCAATCAGGTCGCAGCACGAATGAGCCTGACCAATCAGAGCGTTGTGTGTCACAGGTCAGCGGTTCTGTACGACTGCCGGAGTCCGAACGACAGCCATCGGATCTGGCGCTTCAGTGGACAGGTGGAGCGCGTCTGTTGGGACCATTTCTCTCCGTGTCACTTCCTGGTGAGAAACTGGGCCTGAGAAACTGATGTTTAATGTGAACTTTGACCTGGAGTAACATGTGATGTGTGTTGCAGGCGAGTACAGACGACGGCTTCATTTATTGTCTGGACGCTCGCTCGGATAAAGCCGTGTTCACGCTGAGAGCGCACGACGGAGAGGTTTCAGGTCGGTATAGTCGCTCGAAACCTGTGCATAACCTCAAATAAACATTAACTAATATATATATATATAAGAAATGCAAAAAAAAAAGACTAAAACTTTAACTTAACTTAAATTAAAATATAAATAAAATAAAAACAATAACAGTATATAAATTACACTACTATAGCTAAATGGTTACTATCATTAACTAAAAGTAAAACCATACTTTAAAAAAATAAAAATAAGCATTGACTGAAATATAATGGAATATAAAAAACTTTTTTCAGTTTAGTTTTAAAAAAAAACCTAATAAAAGCAGAAAACAAAAACATTCAAATTAAAAATTATAAAAATGAAACCAGAAAAAAAAAACTATTTAAAATGTGTGTGTATATATATATATATATATATATATATATATATATATATATAAAAACTTAAATAAAAATGTAAAAACCATGTAGACATAATTTAAAACAAAAAAGAAAACCTAAAACGTTAAAATTAAAAAGAAACCTATTCTAAATATTAATAAAAAAATAAATTGTTTTATTGTAATTTTATTATTTTATTGATAAATATTAATAGTATATAAATTTACTGAAAAAAAAAATATTAAAAAACAAACTTGTATTATTTATGCAACACTTCTTATTGTAGTTTAACTTGATGTAGTAAAATAAAATACAAATCACAACAACAAAATGATTTAAACTTCAACTAAAATAAAATATAAAGATGTGAACAGAAAGTGACCCTGGTGTGACTGTGCCGCAGGGATGGACCTGAGCAGTCAGATCCGAGGCTGTCTCGTCACGTCTTCAGCGGACAAACACGTGAAGATCTGGGACATTCTCGGAGACAAACCCAACCTGATCCACTCCAGAGACATGAAGATGGTGAGTATAGTCAGGAGTGTGTGAAGCTCCAACACAGGACTGTCTCTCAGGCTTTAAAGCTGCAGTGTGGGGTTTTCAGCGGCATCTAGTGGTGAGTTTGTGAATTGCACCCAACAGAAGTTACGGTGGCCGACAGGAAGTGATGTCGTCGTCTGAGACAGCAGAGAGTAGCCGGTTAAGCAATAAGGTTTCTTTACAAAGATAAATTAAGAAATTAGGTTTCCTTAATTATTCAGTAAAACAATATATTGCGAGTATTATTGTGACTTGTTCATCATTGTGTCAGTGTTTTACTCGCTGACTTTAGCAGCTTCTTATCATGAAGATCAACACAGTGACGAAACGCGTTTGTCCATTTAGGGCCACCGTAGAAACATGCCGATGAAAGGAGACCCGCGGTGTGTGTAGATAGAAATGCTCATTCTAAGCTTATAACATAATAACGGTTCATTATGTAAGGTCTTGAAAACATAGTTATGTTTATGATATTGCATTTCTGTCAACAGATCCTCCTAAATATTACACACTGCACCTTTAACACAGGACTCTCTCTCTCTCTCTCTCTCTCTCTCTCTCTCTCTCTCTCTCTCTCTCTCTCTCTCTCTCTCTCAGGGTGTGTTGTTCTGCGGCTCCTGCTGTCCGGATCTTCCCTTCGTCTATGCGTTCGGGGGACAGAGAGACGGACTGCGCGTCTGGGACATCAGTGACGTCGCTGCTGGTATATATATATATATAGTGTGACATCAGGCTTTTCTTCATGTGTTGCTCACTGTATTCTGTTGTGTCTCCAGTTGCAGAGGTTTTCGGCAGTCGGGAGCGTTTGGTGGCGGATACAGTCTCTGGAGCGTCAGGGAGTCACATGGAGGTTTCATAACGACAAACATAACCAGACACTGAATCAATGGATCATGGATCACTGCGACTGTCAATATGCAGAACATATTTATGCCATCATATGACGCATTACGAAAAGATTCTCACTGTGTTTGTTTATCTGATATATGTGATATCTGAGATATATATATATATATGTATGCATGTGTGTGTGTATATATATATATATATATATATATATATATATATTATATACACACACACACACATCTATATCGGTATATATATATATATACACACACACACACATATATCATAATATATATATATATATACACCGATATCAGATCTATGCTGTTTGATGCCGAACAAACTGTGCTTTCCTTTAAGAGGGAATTTTAATATCTCCTCTAAGCTTGCAGATTTATTTTTCTTTCCATATTTCCTCTTTTTAGGAAGTGTATGAATAATTATGATGAATAATTTGTAATATTGGTTTACCCTTTTTGGGATAATGAAATTGCAGTTTTTTATATAGGAATAACAATTAATAAAACTGTGGAATCCCAGAGAACTGCCGGTCTTTGTATTTCTGTCAGCTTTGTACAAAGTTGTGAAAATCAAATGCTTTGATTTTCTCAGAAATTAATAGATATTGAGGAAAAATGTATGAAATATGAATTGTCTATGGTGGTGGTTTTGCTGCCCTTCAGTTGGCAATTGTGGTACTGTAGGCGTTTAAAGATATTTTTTTTTACCCCCTTTAAAACAATTCTTCATAAATTATCTATCTTTCCTACCCGGAAGAATATTTGTGTAACACACTTGATTACAACCGCTAGTAGGCGCTCTAAAGTTCAAATGACTGAATTCTCCGTTTAACTTCATTCAAATCTCATGGCATATTTTGAATTGAATTGCTAGACAATTTGTATTATAACCACACAGCTAAACGAAAAGCATAAAAGAGAATACAAACATGGATTAATTCAGTAATACAGTCCGTAAACGTCAGAAAACCGTTGTGATCCTCCCACTCCGGACTGCGTCTTGTCTGTAATTTCTCTTCCACTGATTGAGTTAGCGAACGGAAAGCATGGCGTCGGGTCACATCAGCAGGATCGCTAACCTGTTTAACCGAGTCTATACTAGCAGAAATATTAAACAAATCAGAGGTGAGCTCTCTCCTACAGAAAAACATTACATGTAAGTTAGTTTATAAATAATCTGAAATGTAGCTTCTGTAAACGCTGCTAACACACTCACAGTAAAGCACTGTGTTATCCTGTATAACCTACAACACTGTGACATTTCCAGACCGTATTAATGAGTGATTATGTGCGTGTGTGTGTGTATTCATTCAATCCAGAGGTTATAAGAAGGGACTAAAATCCACTCTTTTTCATTCTAAGCAGGAATCTTTCTGTCATCTCACAACAACTCTACAGTTAGAGGTCCATTCAGTGACGACAAAAGGTCAGTGTTTATTATTTAAAGGGATAGTTCACCCAAAAATGAAAGTACTGTCATCAATCATACTCGTTCAAAACCTGTAAGATTTTCGTTGATCTTCGGAACACAAATGAAGATCTTATTGATGAAATCTGAGAGGTTTCTGTCCCTCCATTGACAGTGACGCAACTACCACTTTCAACCCCTTGAAAAGTATCTAAGACATTATTATAAGTAATCCATGTGTCTCCAGTGGTCTAACCTCAATATTATGAAGCGACACGAGTGCTTTTTGTCCAAAAAAATTATAATTTACCACTTTATTTACAAAATATTAATCTCTGAAGCACATTCACGCATGGTGCTCTCGTGAACATGCGTTATGAGATTAATATTTTGTAAATAAAGTGTTACATTTTTAGTTTTTTGCACAAACAAAGCACTCTAAAATTGATGTTAAACCACAGTAGTCACATCATGGATTACTTTAATAAGGTCTTTACTACCTTTCTGGAGCTTGAAAGTGGTAGTTGCATTGACTGTCAAAAATGAAGAGTCAGATTTGATCTAAAAGATCTTCATTTGTGCTCTGAAGATCAACGAAAGTCTTACGGGTTTTGGACGACATGAGGGTGAGTAATTAATCACAGTACTTTTATTTTTTGGCATTCTTCATAAATGCGCATTTAAAGGGATAGTTCGGCCGAAAATGATATTTAAACCATGCATTACTCACCCTCAAGCCGTTCGAGATGCATATGTAAATCTTGTTTTAGACGAACACATTTTCAGTTATTTTAGAAAATGTCTTAGACCCTTCAGTGGATATCATGTGAAGCAATGGGGTCCACCTCCTTCAAGTCCCAAAATGTGCATATATCCTTCACAGAAGTAATCCATCCGGCTCCAGGGGGATAAACGAAGGGCTTCTGAGGGTAATCCGTGCGGTTTTGTTTTAAAAATATACACATTTAAAACTTTATAAATGAAAATATCTGACTTCCGGCAACGATCGACGCACGTTCACGGTTGATGTTTTGCTCTGCTCTCTGCATAGCTCTCTGGCTGCGCTGGCGCGTTCGTTCTACGTCACGACGCTACGTCCTACCTCGTACGCCGACTTCCATCACCCGTGGATGCGCGTCGATCGTTGCCGGAAGTCAGATATTTTCATTTATAAAGTTTTAAATATGTATATTTTTACGACAAAACCGCACGGATTACCCTCAGAAGGCCTTCGTTTATCCCCCTGGAGCCGGACGGATTACTTTTGTGAAGGATATATGCACATTTTGGGACTTGAAGGAGGTGGACCCCATTTTCTAAATGGGTCTAAGACATTTTCTAAAATAACTGAAAATGTGTTCGTCTGAAACAAGATTTACATATGCATCTCGAACGGCTTGAGGATGAGTAGTGCATAGTTTAAATATCATTTTTGGCCGAACTATCCCTTTAATTGTTCACCTTTGATATATATAATTATGATGCATTTGCAGTTATTGTACGTCAGGCTTCGTCTCTATCAGATAAAGTGTTGTTTTGTTGCTCATAATGAGCCGTTTACCTAAAATGTGTCATTTGTGTTTCAGTAATGTGGAAATCGCAGTGACATCCGATGGAAACACAATAGTGTGTTACCATCCGACAGAAGACGTACCCTATGAGCTCACACAGGTGCAAACTCACTAAAATCCTCATACATGTGCAGAAGGAGAGCTGAAATGTTTGTGTAATGATATACAGGTGAAACTCGAAAAATTAGAATATCGTGCAAAAGTTCATTTATTTCAGTAATTCAACTTAAAAGGTGAAACTAATATATTACATAGACTCATTACATGCAAAGTGAGATATTTCAAGCCTTTATTTGTTATAATTTTGATGATTATGGCTTACAGCTTATGAAAACCTTTTCACAATATTCTAATTTTGAATTTGGGGTTTTCATAAGCTGTAAGCCATAATCATCAACATTATAACAAATAAAGGCTTGAAATATCTCACTTCGCATGTAATGAGTCTATATAATATATTAGTTTCACCTTTTAAGTTGAATTACTGAAATGAATTAACTTTTGCACGATACTCTAATTTTTCGAGTTTCACCTGTATAGTGATGTGTGTGTGTGTTTGTTGCAGTCGATTGCCAGACCAGACGCCATCAATGATCACGCAGAGACTCATGAACAGGTGCTGAAAGCCAGACTCGGGAAAGAGGTTTTAAATAACAAACAGGCCCCAACCATCGAGGAACTGAGCAAGATGTTCTACACCACCAAACACCGCTGGTATCCCGTCGGACAGTGAGTTTGCCTTCTGTGCAATGCAGAAACACGGCTCAGGTGTAGAAAATGCTGTTTCTGTGCATATGAACTGGTTTGTTTTCTTCCTCAGGTATCACACCAGACGCAGAAACCCAAATCCACCCAAAGACCGATAGTTCTGGATGGTTTTCCTGTCTCCTCTGATGTTTGTTTTGAATTGGATTCTGCTGTGCATGAAATAAACCCTTCCTTCGGCTGTTGCTGCAGTGTGTTGTGTTTTATCATTTCTTCACGGGAACTTATAAAATGATTGACTTGAAAGCAATTTAATGTTTTGAGTGCTGAAACTCAAGAATAAGTGGCAGTTTGATCAAATATTGCCCAAAATAAATGCACATTACTTCACTCTAGTATAAACATACATTGTTTGTAACAAGATCAAATTATTAGATCGTTGATTTAGGCAAGGCAGATTTATTTATATAGCACATACACAATGGTAATTCACTGTGCTTTGCGTAAAATGAACTTCAAAATAATCAGGACAGATGCATAGAAAATAAAATTAACAATAAAATGTCAATTTAATTAATTAAAATATAAAATAAAAAACGGGGAATACATCAGATGATACAATACAAGTTTTTTTTTTCCGGGGAAAAAGTAAAAATGTACACCATTCGAAATGCACACACTAATAAAAACAATAGACAACGTTAATTTCCAAAGAAAACTACATTTCCCAGAAAACCCATTGGAGCGGATGGTGACGTGTTTACCGGAAGACTTGCGCGCATGCGCTGTCAACCTCAACGCGAGGAGTAGGGAGCGGGCCACGGTGTTAACCGCAATAATAAAACAAGATGGCTGGATTGCCCCGCAGAATTATTAAGGTATAACTCTCATAATGCTTCATATGTATGTTCCGCTGTGATATTTGTACGCGCTTTACAAACGACGCGTTAAAAATAAATGTAAACGGCACGTGCTGCTGGCCCGAGCGCGCGTTGCTGCAGGGTGGCTCCCGCGCGCGCACTGTTTTTAAACATGCACGTTTCCTAAAATAAGCGCAAATAACCTTCATAAATAAGAGCAACATGGACCAATGTCGTCAGATATGTGTGGTTTGTTAAGGAGCCAGTGATATCCGAGCGAACTGCGATGCTCCTGTCACTGAGGGATTCTGGGTGTGTTTAAAGCCTCTGCATGACACATGAACATGTTTACAGATGCAGATCTCGCGCGCTGCCGTGGGAAACACTTGAGAAGTGTTATTATTTGCTTGTGGGGTATTGTGTTCTGTTGAGCAATGTGAGTTTACATGCAATCAGGAAATGAATTCATACTCATAAAGTAAATATTGTTCCGATACCTTCCTTATTTTGCATCGTCACATTTTTGATTGTCGGCAAGTCTGGTCCACACTGCAGTTATTCTGGCCAAGAACCGCACACTTACTCTGACTGACGTTTAAAGTGACCAAGACGAGTGCCATTTTGGGGTTTGTTTTACTTAAACGGATTATAACATACTAATACACAGCTATAAATCAAAAAAATGTGGTGTCGGCACGGTAGTTTCCATGAAAAGCTGTGCACAAAACACTGAAAGGGTTGCTATAAAGTATACATGATTTATATCCAAACAGTAATAATGTCTCAGACATAAGTCGAAATGTTCAGTTCTGCTTGTTGAAATCCCAGCAAACACAGAAGGTTCCCCTAACGTTAGTGTTTGGTTATTTTTTTGAGAACCTATATATAATAATGGTTCTAGGAATCAGGTTTTATTTTTTGCAACCATAAAATAACGTTCCCAGAACGTTGCAGGGGTGGATGTTTTTAAATAACCTAAAAATAACTTCTACAGAACATTCTCCAATGGTTATTGGTTGATTAGGCGTCCATACATCCATCCTCCATGCCGCTTATACTATACTGGGTCGCCGGATGATTAGTGACGGACAGCAGGGGAATGATATCGGAGTAAACGTTAGAGCAACGTTCTACAAACCAAAAACGTTCTATATTTGTTAAGAGAACTTTCCTGACTAACTAAAAACAAATCTTTGAACGTTCTGGGAACTAAAGATTGTTAGCTGGGAAATAGTTAGCTTGCTACTAAGTGCCCCTGAACATTTGATGCCGTTTAATGGACAAACTTGGTTAAATCTCAAAATGGTTAATTGTAGAAACTCAATACTTTCTAAATGCACTTTGTTTCCAGGCAGATACACACACAATAAAGGTGTATCTGAATTTTTACATCCACATTTATGCATTTGGCAGATGCTTTTATGCTATAAAACCCATGAGCTTGCGGTTGCTTGTCCCTCGACAGGAGACGCAGCGCTTGATGGCGGAGCCTGTGCCTGGGATCAAAGCAGAGCCGGATGACGGGAACGCTCGGTATTTCCATGTGGTCATCGCCGGCCCGCAGGATTCGCCCTTCGAGGGTGGGACGTTCAAACTGGAGCTGTTCCTCCCGGAGGAATATCCCATGGCTGCCCCGAAGGTCCGATTCATGACCAAAATCTACCACCCCAATGTGGACAAACTGGGGAGGATCTGTCTGGACATCCTGAAAGGTGCTTCATCTGATGATTAACCCTTTTGGGGGACATAATATTCATAGTAGTCCGAAAAAGATATATTTTTTTAAATAGAAGAGTTTATTGATCCTTTACACAGAGGATTGGTTTGTATCATATTTGATACATCAGGCTTTTATGGCTCATACAGGTGAAACTCGAAAAATTAGAATATCGTGCAAAAGATAATTTATTTTAGTAATTCAACTTAAAAGGTGAAACTAATATATTATATAGACTCATTACATGCAAAGTGAGATATTCCAAGCCTTTATTTGTTATAATTTTGATGATTATAGCTTATGAAAACCTTTCACAATACTCTAATTTTGAATTTGGGGTTTTCATAAGCTATAAACCATAATCATCACAATTATAACAAATAAAAGCTTGAAATATCTCACTTTGCATGTAATGAGTCTATATAATACATTAGTTTCACCTTTTAAGTCGAATTACTGAAATAAATGAACTTTTGCACGATATTCTAATTTTTCGAGTTTCACCTGTATAGCATGATACTATAGTGGAGAAAACAGCTCAGTTTTATTCAGAGGATCAAACTGAGCAAAAATATGCAATTTGCTGCACATACTCATATTTTTATGGACAAAGTAAAATGAAATTCTGATACTTGTAAGTTAAATCAATGTGGCCTTTATAACTGACATAAAATGCATATAAGAATCAGTCGTCACTTATTATAGAGCTTATTATAAAGCTTAGTTTTATGATCCTAGCTCTGTCGTTTTAAAACATGATGCAATGCGATACAATGATGATTGACAGATTAATAAATAAACCTTCCTCATAAGCCTGATGATCATATTTAAGACTTTTAAAAAATGATCAAGTAAACCAAAACTGCTTCAGTCCGGTAAGTGTTCGTCTTGAATTATTACTAACAATATAAAAGTTATTCTCACGTCTACTTCATAAAAATCAGTAAAGATTTCACAGCAAAAAGCTGAAGGATGACGTTTGTACAATAATACTAAAAGGTCTTATGATTGCTATGATTTGGAGATTGTGTGCGACAGCTTTTTCAGCAAAGTTTTGATCCTGTTGATCATTTAGAGGCATGTATGTATCAAATATGATACGGTAAGCTTTACATCTTCCTCTCTCGTAGATAAGTGGTCTCCAGCTCTCCAGATCCGTACAGTGCTTCTCTCTATCCAGGCTCTCCTCAGCGCTCCGAACCCGGATGACCCGCTGGCCAATGATGTAGCTGAACAGTGGAAGAGCAACGAGGCTCAAGCCATTGAAACCGGTGAGATCTGCATTATTGTGCCTATATAACCACTATGCTATTTTTGGTTGAAAAGTGGATGAATCTCACAAAAAAAAACAAGTTCAGCTCACATTTCCCCCAGGAAAAAACAATGAATCCTATTTTAGAATCATTCAAGTTTTTTGTCATTCCAATTAGTCGTATTTTACTGTTAGGTATTGTGAGATTCACCCAAATAAAGTAAATATGATATTAATTGCTGTTCTTGAGGGTGTTTAAACTTTTAAAGATCCTAACTTTATTGATATGGTAAAAAAAAAAAAGACATTGCCAAAGCATTGGTTACATTAAATCACTGTCTTACACAATTAAATAATCTTATATGGTTGGTTTCTGATAATTACTGTTCAAAACTCACATATTTTTAAATGTAAAAAAAAAAAAAAATCGTGGTTATTCGAACGTTTAAGGCCCCATTTACACTGCATGGTTCAAGTGACCCAAATCCGATTTTTTCCTCTCATGTGGCACAGATCGGATATGACCAGTGAACGTGTAAGCAGGAAAAAACCGCATGGATTCCGATTTTCTCAGATCGGATTCAGGCCTCACTCATATGTGGTAATAAATCGGATATGAATCGGATACGTGCATTTGCGTGTGCCATGTAAGCAGACAAATCGGATATTCCCCAGTAAATGCGAGTCGTACGTCTTTAAAAAAGTGACGTCGACTCAGGTGGACACCACCAACTGAGATCACATGACTTATTATAGGCGCGATGGAGGACGAAGGATACACACAGTGGAGCAATGTGGAGGTTTCATGTCTTTTGAGTGTGTGGGGCGAAGAGACAGTGCAGAGTTATTACAGAAATAAGAGGCGTTTCACGAGATATGGGGAGGCACGGGTTTAAGCGCTCGTGGCTACAGTGCCACCGTAAGATAAAAAGCTTAATGACTTTTAAAAATATTGTGGAAAGCAAAACACTGGATAATTTTATTCGCATCTGCATCCATTGTATTTCGTGCTGTTTTACTTCCTTTTCCGGGTCAGAACGTCTACATTTGGTAGTTTCAGCAGTGTATAGTGTAAATGCAAAAATCGGATACGGGTCACTTTTGAAAGATGATGTAAGCGGGTCGTCAGAAAATCGGATTTGGGCATCAAGACCTGCGGTGTAAATGCAGCCTAAGCGAACGTTCCGTTTGATCATTTTCCAAACATTTTCGGAATGTTACTTTTGAATTTTCTCTGAACATTCCGAAACAAGCAGTAACGGTTAAAAAATGTGAGAGGAACGTCCAAGATCAATTAACAAAATAAAAAATGTTTTTTTGTGCTAGCGTTTTGAGAACATTACTAGATGGCGTTGATCGGTTCCCTGTTAGCTGGGTTTAATAAAACAATAGGCTTTATGCCGAGCGTCACGTGACCAAACCGGAAACCGGGTCTCATTGCATCCGCTTGTCAGAGAAAGTGTTAACGGCCGTAAGAACTAACTACGATATCTATGGATTTTTAAGGTATTAATCAGCTAACCTACTAAGTTCACTTTGTTATTGGTGTTTTATGCTATTTAAATATCTAAACGTTAGTGTGAAGAAGAAAAATTTAAAAAACTTTTAAATATCAATCTGCACATGCGAGGGACATTTGTTATGCTCATTTTTGCTTGCTCCTTTTAAGTTATCTTGAGTAAAACCGCAAAAAAATGTCATGAAGCACATACAAAAGACCTGAATCGGAAGCGGTGTGATCTGTTGTCCGGCTTGGTCACGTGACGCTCATGAGACGCAGAAGCTAAAAAGTGCACGACATTTGTTTTGTTGTTTAAATGTTGTTGAGTTTTGATGTTATTTTCTCTCGCAGCCCGAACATGGACCAGGCTTTATGCCGGCAACAACATTGAAGTTTAGAAGAAGGAAAAGGTGGCATCAAGTGAGAGAAGTGGAACAATCTCCTCCTGTCTTCTTTTGCATTTAAAGAACACTTTCTCAGACAAATTAAAACAGCAAACGAAACCAATTCCGATTGAAAAGCATCTACTGCAGCCGTTTGGGTGGTTCAGCTCAGAGCTAATGTTCGCTCCACTATATGATCTCTCTGCTTCTGGGTTCGGCCAGGAAGTGATGCGTGGTCACCACACTGGACCCTGTCAGAATGGGTGGTACAGTGTCTAATACAGTGGATTTCACTGGATCCAGGCCCTACACCCAGGTGGATGGTTCATTTTTGTTAGTTAGTTTAATGTTATGGGGCGTAGAGGGGCTGTTAACATGGGTTGCATATATGCTGCTTCTCGGTCAGGGACAAAATGATGTGAATTTTTTTTTTTTTACCTTTTCCTTCCTGTGAAACTCTTGAGTTCATTAAAAGCATGTGGTGAACCCGTCTAAATCATGGCCTATCTGACAGAACCTGCTCTGACGCTGTTGTGCTCCAAACAAACGAAACGTGTGCGAGTGTGCGTGTAAAGCTTTGTGTTTAGGCCGGTGTGGAAAATGTATGACTTGTCTGGGAAAATTAAATCTGTAAATGTTCAGTTTTAGTAAAAATATTTTTTGTTATGTTATTTGGTTTGTTCTCTTTATTACTGAGGGGTTTTTTTTGTGCAGTTTTGAATCTGATTGTTATTGAAGCTTGATTGTTTTTTTGCCACATAATTAAAAAGCAAAAAAAAAAAAGAAGGTAATTACTACTTTTTATCTGACAATTATGTATTTATTTCACAATTCTGACATTATTTCTCACAATTCCAAGTTTATAACTCACAATTCTGACTTTTTCTCACAAGTCCTAGTTTAGACATGAAATCGTGATTCCGAGAAAACAATCAGAATTGCACATTCTAAACTTGGAATTGTGAGACATAATTTCAGAATTGTGATTATAAAATTGGAATTGTAAGAAAAATGTGAGAATGGTGAGTCATAAAATAAAGCTAATTGCAACTTTATTTCTCAGAATTTGGTCTTTATAACTTGCAATTGTGAGTTTATATCTCAAAGTTCGGAGGAAACGTGTCAGAATTGTGATATAAAAAATTCAGATTTTATAATTCCCAATTCTGACTCATTTTCTCGCAATTGTTTGTTTATATCTTGCGATTAGGACTATCTTGCGAGGTTATCTCACAATTTGTACCTTTTTCTTGCAATTGCGAGTTTATAATTCGCAATTCTGACCTTTTTTCTTAGAATTTGAAAGAAAAAAAAACAGTTAAGGTCAAATAATTTCATAACATGAATGGCATACATACACTGCCTTACTAGTGTGTTCATGTGAACGCTCACTTCTGCAAATAAATAAAAAGAGTTGATCTGGTTTTGAGACAGGCACCTTTAAACCATGTTTTTGTTCAATGTAGTACGCCTATATTTTCAATATTTGTACAAAATGATAGGCTTAATATACATTTCCCCTAGTAGATATGAATCATTTAAAGCTTTAAATTAAAAAATCTGTTCCTCAATACAACTATATAAAGAAAGTTCTGTTTGGTAATGTCTTTTTTACATGCTAAAATGGCACTCGTCTCGGACTTCCACTGCATTTGAGCCGCAGGATTTATGAATCAAGTTCAGTATTCGTATCTCTTATCTCTCTTCTGTTCCACGTGACTTGCTTTCGACAGGTTATATAACTGTCTCAGTGGTGCAGAGCTGCAGTTGAAGTTATTTCTGCACTCACGGCAGCAGAAGCGAGGGCACGTTTCTCCGTCCTGTGTGTTTGTGTCTGTCTGCAGGCCGTTTATATGACTGGGACATCGAGAGCAATCAAAACGGCCTCTTGTTTCTGTCTTCTCATATCTAATGAGCCGTTTGTTATGTCTGCAGTCTCTGAATGGCTACCATTACGGGATTTCTAAAGACATTGAGAGTATATCTTGAGTGTTTGTATACGGTCACAAATAGAAATGATTACTATTTACTATTTAGTCTGTTTGAGCGCTGTCAGATGAATAATTCTGACCAGTAAACCTTCATATACGTTGTTTAGATGGGAGCTCATTTCTGAATTTACAAAAACTATTTTATTTGGGAGAGACAGTAACTCTCATTTAGTGTTGTCTAAATGCTAGAGGGAAATGCTGGTATCGTTACATTTTTAAGATTTCAGTACCAAAGTTGGTACTTTTGACAACACTACGAGAAAAAAGTCAGAATCGCAAGATATAAACTCGCAATTGCGAGAAAAGTCAGAATCGCAAGATATAAACTCGCAATTGCGAGAAAAAAGTCAGTATTGTTAGTTATAAACTCGCAGTTGTGAGAAAAAAGTCAGAATTGCAAATCATAAATTGCAATTGCGAGAAAAATGTCAGAATCGCAAGAAATAAACTCGCAATTGCGAGAAAAAAGTCAGAGCCATTAGTTATAAACTCGCAATTGTGAGAAAAAGTCAAAATCCGTATATATAAACTTGTAATTGCGAGAAAAATGTCAGAATTGCAAAATATAAACAAAAAAAGTCAGAATCGGAAGAAATAAACTCGCAATTGCGAGAAAAGAAATCAGTCGTTAGTTATAAACCTGCAATTGTGAGAAAAAAGTCCAAATTATAAATTGCAGAAAAAGGTCAAAATTATAAATTACAGAAAAAATGTCAGATTTGCAAGAAAAAAGTCAGAATTGTGAATCTGCGGTGTCTGAATGGCTGCCATTATGGTAGAGTATAACTTGAGTGTTTGTATACACTGTTTTTACTCAATAAAGTGAAGTCTCAGCTATGATTAAATGCAGTGTAAAGTTTAATTGTGTTTTAAGAAATATTATTGTTTTAGTGAACTCGATTAAAATAAGTTCAGAGTACTCATAACTATTGTTTTTCATTAACTTAAATGAATTGAGGCAATCGGTTTCCTCAAATGAAATGAGTTAGCTTAACTTGTTGGGTTTTACAGTGTTATACGGTCACAAATAGAACTGATTACTATTTACTATTTAGTCTGTTTGAGCGCTGTCAGATGAATAATTCTGACCAGTAAACCTTCATATACGTTGTTTAGATGGGAGCTCATTTCTGAATTTACAAAAACTATTTTATTTGGGAGAGACAGTAACTCTCATTTAGTGTTGTCTAAATGCTAGAGGGAAATGCTGGTATCGTTACATTTTTAAGATTTCAGTACCAAAGTTGGTACTTTTGACAACACTACGAGAAAAAAGTCAGAATCGCAAGATATAAACTCGCAATTGCGAGAAAAGTCAGAATCGCAAGATATAAACTCGCAATTGCGAGAAAAAAGTCAGTATTGTTAGTTATAAACTCGCAGTTGTGAGAAAAAAGTCAGAATTGCAAATCATAAATTGCAATTGCGAGAAAAATGTCAGAATCGCAAGAAATAAACTCGCAATTGCGAGAAAAAAGTCAGAGCCATTAGTTATAAACTCGCAATTGTGAGAAAAAGTCAAAATCCGTATATATAAACTTGTAATTGCGAGAAAAATGTCAGAATTGCAAAATATAAACAAAAAAAGTCAGAATCGGAAGAAATAAACTCGCAATTGCGAGAAAAGAAATCAGTCGTTAGTTATAAACCTGCAATTGTGAGAAAAAAGTCCAAATTATAAATTGCAGAAAAAGGTCAAAATTATAAATTACAGAAAAAAATGTCAGATTTGCAAGAAAAAAGTCAGAATTGTGAATCTGCGGTGTCTGAATGGCTGCCATTATGGTAGAGTATAACTTGAGTGTTTGTATACACTGTTTTCACTCAATAAAGTGAAGTCTCAGCTATGATTAAATGCAGTGTAAAGTTTAATTGTGTTTTAAGAAATATTATTGTTTTAGTGAACTCGATTAAAATAAGTTCAGAGTACTCATAACTATTGTTTTTCATTAACTTAAATGAATTGAGGCAATCGGTTTCCTCAAATGAAATGAGTTAGCTTAACTTGTTGGGTTTTACAGTGTATACGGTCACAAATAGAACTGATTACTATTTACTATTTAGTCTGTTTGAGCGCTCTCAGATGAATATTTCTGACCAGTAAACCTTGTTAAGATGGAAGTTAATTTCTGATTCTACAAAAACAACTTTATTTGGGAGAGACAGCAACTCTGTTATTCAATAAATGTGAATGAAAAGTGACTTTCAGTGAGTGTGCAGATGTTGCTCTGATCAGATCCATGTAATCCTATTAAGGCTGTGAACAGATTCACTCTTCTCAGATCTGTCTCAGAATCTGTTGAGCTGAAAGCCGATGGCAAATGTTCATTTCCATTACGATGCTGTCTGATTAATGTGATTAATGCGTTTCACTTGAGGTTCTAGTCTATGTCATCATGGTTCATGACTCAAAGTTAGTTTACTCACTAACCCAGATGTCTGTAATTCACTCATTAAATGCATGACGACTGCAGTGTGCTTCTGTCTGTCTCAGGTTAGATGCCAAAAACAATGTATTCACTTGAATTTTATTGGTGTTAAGAAAGATTATAATGCATTCCAGGGCAAATCTCAAGTGCTATATCTTAAGTAACTATTTGGTTTTGAGTCAAATGTCCAAGTACAAATGATTTTAAGATTAAACCCACCTTGAAAAAGACTCTCTGTAAAAGTAATGAGTGTTTATCATTAAAGGTGCCAATAGTTTCACTCAAATCTGATAACTGCATCTGCAACTGTTTCTTCATGCTGTTTGCACATTGATTACACACACAGAAAATGTTGTTAAATTCTTGTTAAAGTTTATCAATGTCATCAACCATAATTTAATCAGATCGGTATCTGATTCTGTATGCCAAAGTCCAGTGCTCACTAACAGCATTACATTAGAGAAGAAATTATACAAAAAACAACATGTTATTACCGTGGTACTTTTTTTAAAATTATTTTTTACATTGAATCCTCATTACATTGGGAATAGTGCACAGTATTAATTTAATATTATTTTCTGCATTCCTTTATTTTTATAATTCGTAATATACCGGTACATATTTTGTCGAAACACGCGTGACTAAACTGATTTGTGTGTTGTTGGGGGTTTTTTTGTGTGTGTTTTTTTGTGCTCAACTGAAAAGCCTTCTACCGTGAAATATCTGTTGTTTAAATTACGTGTTTCGTCTAAACAACTCTACTTAAATTAACAGTAAAAGATCATTAATCACAGGAGGCCACGCAGTAATGCAGTAACGGACTAGTGTGATCGCAGTTCACGGACCCGCCTGACGGAGAACAAATCCTACTACGAGGAAGGTGTTGCTCATGAATATTAATTAGTTGATGGTGACGTCGCGGCATTGCCTTCCAATGGTGAACGCCGTTGATTAATGTAGGCTGACGTTGCCTGGTAACCTTCCAATGCTAACGGTTTAACTTATAAATATTAAGGAGCAAGCCGTCAACATACTACAGTTAGTAATTTCGCACCCGGCCCACCACACACGTATATATACCGGCGGGGGAAGACGAGGTATTTTGACCTGGGGATGGGTAGCGGAATGCAGAGTTGTCGTTAAAGAATCGAAATTACCGGACTAAACGCGGAGGAATGCTTTAAATAGGATTTTAAACTAACGCTAACCCGTAGGCTCGGTCCAGCCCGGCACTGGTCCGTCTTCCTGACCGTCGGTGGTGACTCACGGAGCTCGGGCCGTTCACGGAGCATTAGTGACCGGCGGTCGGATATATCAACCGAACCGAAGGACCGACAGGATTTCAGCATGAAGTTCAAACCGAACCAGACGCGAACGTACGACCGGGAGGGATTCAAGCGGCGGGCGGCGTGCCTGTGCTTCAAGAACGAACGGGAGGATGAGGTACGGAGATATTATCTAAACCAGACATGATGCTCCGATGATAAATCCGTGTATCAACATCCGTGTGCCTTTCACCTGAGTCCCAGTCGGAATATATGACAACATAGCTACAGATATTCGAAGAGTATATACGTGTATACTGTACATGAGAGCTATAAATCAGGTGTCATGTGATGTCATCCAACGTTAGTACAGGGGTTTCCGATCAAGGACCCCCAAATATGATCAACCTGGTTGACCCCATCCTAAAATATATAAGGCATCCATCTTTAATAAACACCCAATATTTACACTGAAAAAAATCTAAACATAATTTCTATTTTGTTATATATTAGCTATATATTTTTCTCTACTCGGTACTATTAAATGCATTATTTTTTGTTTGTTTATTTATTTAGTTTTAATTGTATTTTATTTATATTATTAATAAAAAAAAGTATTCGTTCATTTTAATATAATTAAATGGATTGTTAACTAACTAATATTTTTTAAAGCACATTTTTTAGAGTTATTTTAATCTTATTATGTAATATTTATTTATTTTTTTACATTTTTTTTAACTGTTTTTCTTTAGGCTTTTCCACTGACCCCCTAGAACTCCTCTTATCCCTGATCTAGTGCATCTGTGCGGTTTCATCATAGATGGATGAATACATATAGATGCATAGATTGATATTAGTGCTGTCAAATCAATCAGTTAATCACATCTTACAGAAAGTGTGTGTGTGGGTGTGTGTGTATATACATAAACACACACACATATGTATGTATATATGTTTAATTTTGATTTTATTATTCCCACTTGGAAAATCGCAGTACATCACACAAACAAACAGCCTATTGTATTATGCAGAAACACTACGCTGTGCTGTTTACATTTAGAAGTGATCTGGCATCAGTTTGTCACTGTCAGGTGTTCTTAGAAAGTGAAGTTTCTGCAGCATGCATGTGTGTGACTGTTCAGATCACAGCACAGCGTCTGGTTATTTAGTTCTCATCGAGGGCTGTAATCTCTGTCACACACGCTGGACAGGCCAAAATCCCAGTGATCATAATTAGTCAAGTAAACCTGTTTCAGCTGCATTAGAAAACTGGATTCAACCTTT